CTTTTGCCCCCCTCTTTTTCCTGTTTTTTAAAAAAAAAAAAAAAAAAAAGGGCTGCAGTTTGTCCTCTCACTTCCATTGCGGAGATGGGCAAGATAGACTCATCTAAAACCTCCTCCTCCTCCATTTACAACTTCAAGCTGTCCCTGGCTCTAACGATATTTGCAACATTTAGCACAACCTCCACTAGTCTGAAAATAGTATTCAGCATTTGATGTGGAGAGGCTGTTATTATCTGCATTGTTACTTGTGTGGCACGGTATTTGTTATGTTGTATTTTTCCAAGTAAATGTGACCCTGTGGAACATAACACAATGCAGAGCTAGAATCCACTCCCATAATATCACTAGATATCATTTTGGACATTAGCTATTCAGTGAGTATTTGCTACATCATTTATTGGAAGATGTACGTATTTAACTTGTCTGTGGAGAGCTTATGACCACACATACTGAATGCCTTGTTATTTACTGCCTGTGCACTTCTCCATTAAATTATATGGACAGAAACCTAATGGCAGAAATCTAACAAATTGGTTTTGCTGAAAATTTGACATAAACTACTATTGTTTTTATTTGCTTTACTACTATTACACAGCAAGTCTACACTGCTTTTCTAAACCACTCACAAATACAATTTCTAAGCCAAATGTTTGTCTTGGAAACAGTATTTTATGGGGCTTTGGGCAGCTTGGTATTGGTCAGACTGTATTGGTCTTCATCAACTGCAAATTGAGAGAATATAGCCTGCTGATCTTTTTCTGTGCAGCAACCTAGGTGATTGCCCTACACTTTAATCACCTGGTGCCTAAAGAAAGCTGAAGATTTTGCTTATAAAACAGTTTGCAAGTTTACAAAATCAAAGTTACTTTCCCGATAAATCTAAAATTTATTTTCTTTTCTACAGTTACTACTGTTGTCAGAGATCATTGAATAGAATTATTTATTCGCCTTTCAGAATATGTTTCTCATAGAAACAGAATGTAAGAATTAGGTAAATGTGATGTGGTGAAAATGTTCAAGTGTATCTGAGTTTAAGAAATAAAACTTTGGAGTCGCAAGACAGGTGATAGAGAAAAAGTTAGCCTAATTCTTGTTCTGCTCATGTAGTACTTGGAGGACCAACCGAACTGTAAGTAGGTACTTTATCAATGTAAAGATTTAATATTATACAGCATAAATTAACAAAAAGAGCAAGTGTGTAGAAACTGGATTTTTTTTTTTTACCTCCTATATGTCCTGCAAAAAGCAGAGAGAAAAACACAAGGCATAAGAAAATCAGTTTGGTTTTTTTTACTACAGTGTTGCCAATCACCAGAGCATGTCATAACTAAAATCGTATACATTTTGTGACAACAAAAATAAACACCAGACATACAGAAGAATGTGTGATGCTACACATTAAGTGTGCTTTTTCTGTTTTGCTTTCTCCTGAACCAAGTTTTTTATCTCTTACATACATAGCACTACTGCAGACTTCACTGGGACAGTTGGATGGAGAGAAGTTCTGAATTAGATGCAGGATTAAGCTAAGTAGAGCTAAAGAAAAAGTATGTTCTAGTTTTGCATCCAAAATCCTGTCACATTCAAACTTTAGTAAATTGCAAGTATCTGATAACGCCAGCTCCTTATTTTAAAAACTTGTAAACATCTTCTCCCCTTCATCATAGTTTGGACATGGATTACGGTTTTTCACTTCACAGGCACATTCACATCTGATGTCCTTGCTAAGCACCGAGGAAACCATTACAGATTAATTGCAACATTTGACCAGTGAAATTTTATCACCAATTCTGCAAGAACCCTAGGTAATGAAACTTTAACATCTTTTCTCTGTGCTTCTCTTTCAGCTTCTGATATGGCTGCGGAGCAGGGACAGATTCTTGTAATTGCCACGGCTGCTGTTGGTGGATTCACTCTCCTGGTCATACTCACTTTGTTCTTCCTGATCACTGGGAGGTAGTTAACACTACAGTGTTCTCATTTACTCAGGGTTAGAGTCATCCAAAACTAAGAATTTAAGAATAATAGTTAAGTCACTCACCACATTTTCAGTGTTAAAATAAGGGTTAGGCATAGCGGGGTGAGTGTTCTCTTTGTTCAGCGCTGCTCATACTCATGGTTCTATTGTGAGTGCTGTTTTTTGTAAAAACCCAGTTTGGGGAGCTAAGCAATTATGTGAAATAAAAAAAAAAATTAAAAACAAAGCTTGGCTGTTTTTAAAATAAGTTTCTGGACCTCTTGCCTGCAGAGCGAGAATTTAAAAATACGATATAGCTGCACCCTCAAGGCTCTGACATCAGAATACAATAAAACAAAAAAAACACAATATTTTTTACAAAATCTCATAACTGTCAATTGCAAAACTTTGAAGGGTGTAACCTTAGGATTTTTGATGTCTTGGGGTTGGCAATGTAGCTTGTTAAAGACCTTTGAGTGGACAATTTTTTATTGCTTTTACTATACTAAATTTGTAGGAAAAATCATACACATTTATGTATATATTTTATATGCACGTTTCTGCATCTATTTAGAGAAAATATAGGAGTTGTCTAATGAAATTAAACTAAGGAAAACTTTACTCCAAAATACTAGAATGATTCTAATGCCTGTGATATCACTAGTGAAGAGAAAATAGTTTCCCGAAGGTCCTTTTTTATTGCTTTTTTTTTTTTTTTAATTGGATTGAAGATATCCCAATTAAATCTACTTTACAGCACTACTGTTGCACTGGCAGTGGAATTCACCAGTCTGGACAATGATTATTTTTTATAACTACCCTGATTCTTATACTTGAATTCCTTTAGCATGGTGCTGATTGTCCACCTCCCTTCAGCTGATGTGTTGATCAGGATCAAATAATGACATTATGCAAATTGATGAGAAAGCATTTTGATTTGAGTGGCCAGATGCCATGCTCAATTACACACTGAAGGTTTCCAGGGAACTCACAAATTCTAATTGGGCTTGCTAAAAAAACGCACGTAGAGGCCGGAACATCAGTCCTTGCTTGACCTGATTCCCACAGGCATAGCTTCATCCGTGGTGCCTTGTTTTCTTTTTCACTGAGCCTCCTGGGTGATTCCTGTGTGATTTCAGGACTTCACCTGCTTCCGTCAGGAAGCAAAGCAGAATATAAAGGACAAAGACGTTATGTCCCCGTCCCCTCTGTGAGACAGCAGCGCTGCCAGGGATCAAGAAAGCCTAAAACCAGACTGACGCTCTGCAGAGGTGTGGGCCTTCAAGCAGAGGAGTTGGGCCCATAGCTCCTGCAGTAAGCTCTGTAGGGGGTTGTGTGGCCTCTGACCCCTCTCTACCCTTCTCCCCTCTCCCTCCTTCAGACACATAAAGCAGCCATTAGAAGAGCCTCCATGTGAGGAGGATTCTCTGTGGAGTTTTCTTCTTACCTGGCTTGAGGACAGTAAAAAATCCAGAGTTAGGATGGAATTCTGTGCTATTCCTGTCCTGGTTTAGAGCCTGTGTTTACACTTAGAGAAAAGATATTACACTGACTCCTCTGAATGTGATAATGGTCGTCACAGACCGGGCTGATATCAATAGATGGTGCTGCGCTTTCAGATTTGTAATTAAGTTTCTGTTTTGTTGTTATAGCATTACCTCTAATTTGAAAAGAAAGTGAAGTCCTGTCAGTGTAGGCCGGAGGTTTTATTTGCAGTACCCCAGCAACCAAATACGGCGCTAGAGTAGCTACCATTATGTGAATTAATGCTCTCTCTGCTAAATAATAAAACCAGTTAAGTCTAACATTCTGTTGAAGTTAATGGGAGCAGTTAACACTGGAACATATTGTGACCTTAGATAATCTTAGAAGCTAAGTAAATATTCCTACAATTACTACAAACACCAATGAACAGTAGGGTCCTTCAGAAGAGAGAGGAATTACTGAAAGACAAACTTTCAGAGACGATGATTGTGTGGAATCCTTACATGGAATCCTGAAACATAACTCAAATGCTTCCTTTAGAAAAAGCTCACTAAACTCAGGAATGACAAAATTATGGAAATGGGTTTCTTTCTGGATTTATTCCTCCTGTTTGCTAATGTTAAGGATTCTCTTAGCTTTCTAACATCTTACTCAATGGGACCATTTCAATTATGTAAGATATGAATTCATTTTGAAGTGCTGCTTAAATGCAGTGATAAGGGTGTATTCCACAGAAGACAGAGCAAGAAAATTTTGAATAAATACTCAATTTACTCTAGGAGTGAGGCAAATTTCTGTGTGAAAAATGGGATTGGTACCCTACAGATGTGCTCTGCTTCACTGTTTAGAATTAGCAATTTGATGAGCTGTCAGGTCACAGGGCTGCTGATGAGTCTATTCATAGTGGAGAGGCTGGGTTAAATGAGCACCTGCCTCTACACTTCGCTGAGTGATTATCCACCAAGAGCAAGCAGGAAGCACGGCTGTCAATTGCAGATAGAAAAATGAAAGCGACAGTGACTTCGAGGCGCAGGATATGCAGTCAGACAGGGGTCTTGGCTAAATTCCAGGAAATGTGGTGTTAAAGCTCAGTGTGATTTATTCTTATTGTTACAGAAATTTTTGCTCTCCGATTGTTCTGTAGCCAACACTAATAGGGAATGGGGAGCTGGAAGACTCCTCTGCTGGTGACTACTCACTGGCTTCTGTAGTCAAATTTTGGGGCCATATGCACTCTTAGGAGGTTTGGACAGGGTTAAAGCCTTGTTTCTTTGACTGTTCCTTTGGGCCGACAGTTTGCATGTAAGAGCTTGTGTTCAGTGTTCTTGGCACCCTACAGACTGGTTGTTCAGGTCCTAAAATGGCCCTAATAGTGGTCCCAGCAACTGGTGTGCAATCTAAAGATTTCAACAGAAGCTGAGAATCCACTGGTTGCTGTTTCTTGCCATAAGGGTACATAACCATGAAAACAAGTGCCTTACAAGTCACAGCCAATTATACTAGCTTCAGAAGTTTCTGCCCTTCAGGTGTTCATCATCACCTCTGTAGCAATGAATGAATTTGTGAGGAATCCTACTCTGTTTCAGTAGTTTAAATGACCCATTGAAATGAGGTGGGTGCATTCACATATTTCTCATATCTCCATTGTTAGTATTTTACCAGGTATACTATCTATAATTATAGTTTATTTTATTTTATAAAGCTGGTAATGAACCCACAGAGGCCAGTCATTTTTCTCAAACTGGTCTTGGAACTGAATGTCTGTATGCCAAAGCACATGTCCACACGCACTGCTGTTCTCCACTGGGGTCAGTGCCCCAACAGCCCTTAGCCCTTAGCCTAGCCCTTCGACCAAAAGATTTCCCTCTAAATCATACTACTTAGGCTGTTCAGTGAGTGAGTAAGAGCTTGAAGACCAAGAGCAAGTATTTTGTTTTTTCTTGAATGAAACAGTTGCTCCTATCTTGTGACCCTCTAAATCAGCATTAACAGTCCGGCAGGTAAGCAGCATTCAGGCTAAGGGAGATTTCATTACAGGGAACCCAAAAACTTTCCATGTGGCAGTTTTCTCCAACATACCCTTGCATTGTCAAGTACAGCTGCTAACAATTCATGAACATCCACTGAGTTTTGTGTTGTTTGCCAAGGATTTGCAATTTTATAGCAATCATACAGGCATATGCTAAATCAGCATATTCATATAGCAGGCTAGGTATTGTTTATCCTATATGATAGCTGCTATCTTAGAAGAAATAATAAATCAGTGCCTGACTCAGATTGCGCAAAGCTACTCAGAAAAAAAAAAAAAAAGTGGTCCTGATGTGAAACCATATTTTCTTTTTCCATGAAACATGGTGAAGTTGCAGAAACTGTTATGAAGAAAATGTGAGATTTTTTGACCCACTGGATATGAAAGTTAATAGGATATGGTGTAATTAGGACAAACCAATGTATGCAAACAAGAATGCAAGGAAGTAATAATTTACTAAAGTATCAAAGTTCTTTGATGGAGTCAAAGTTGGAAATAAAATATTACATCAAACTTGAACTTAAGTAGTCATTTTCATACTAATCATTCAACCGTGATTTATTTTTATTTGTATCTAGTCTATTTGTAGTTCTTCATGCATATTTCTCTCTTTAGATTCGTAACTAAATATATATTCCAAATGCAATGATTTTCACTTTCGTAAAAGTGCAGATAAAACTTAATGTACATTTATTTTATGCATGACAAGTATTTTAATTAAAACCTCATTTGTTTTTCTTAAAAGATGCCAGTGGTACATAAAGGCCAAAATGAAATCTGAAGAGAAAAGAAGGGCTCATTTGCAAAATGGAGATTGTAAGTAGTTCAACACTGTATTACATAATACCTATCGCATGTCTTAAATGAAGAATGTTCATTGTTTTCTGTACAGCTTTTGCACTTGACATTTTAATCTGACCATTTGAATAGTTCCTTACTGTTTGCACCATCAAGGGTGTTTATTTTTATTTGTATGTCCTCTTGAACAATTTCATTGAATTGACTCTAGATAATGAGGGGTTTTGGTATTCTATTAGTAATATTTATCAGTTTTTCAGGTATATTTCTTTGAATTCTCAACTGGCCTGGACCATATTGAATTTCTGCCTCAAAATTCCACTCTTGGTGACTATGTGCCTTATTTGTATCCAGTTCTCTTTGGCTTTAGGGATCTACAGTTCCAGCCACCCAAGAAATAAAAAGTGGATTGGGTTGCCTTCCCTCATGTTCCTGCTCACTGATCTGTACACTGAGAGAAAATCCTGGCAATCTCTCATGGGCAGTATATTAGTTTATTTAGTTTGGTTACTTAGTTTAAATTACTAGCCTCACTGTTCTGTGTTAGAGTAGCTATTTAAACTTTTTATTTATTCAAAGGGTATTATACAAGGGGTTTGGTTGGTGGTTTTTTGGTCCTTTTTTATAACATCCCTGGAAATACTATGATTAAGACTGAAGCTAAGTCACCAAAAGTAAAATCTTTTTTTCGGGTGACACCACTATATCCAGCCAAGTGGCTCTTTCTGTCAAGGAAAAGGGCACATTTCCCCATAAAGGATACTTCCTAGGAAGATTTGTTTGTCATTTGTTTCCAAACATGGTCAGAAAGGAAAGAAGACAAAAACCTTCCTGATGGAGAGTTTGATATATGCCTCTGAGACCGTGACGGAATTTGAGAAAAGCCTCACTCGGTGTCTTTCATGTCAGGGTAAATGATGACTGTATTTCATGTTGACACAAAGCTTTATCTCAGAGGCTTCTCATTCATTTACAGTTATCTCAGCATCAGACTTGAGGGGGCAAGTCTGTCTGCATGTATGTGCTCCATAGAACCAAGGATAAAGAGGAATTACTCTGATTTACCCCAGCAGCTAAGACTGCAGTGCCAACAATACTCCCTCCTTTTTACTGAGCGCTCAGTGCCCCCGTAAGAAGTACCACCTTCATGCTAGCAGCAGTCTTTATCTGACTGCTGACTACCTATAGATTTTTTATCCAGCATCTCAACCTGAAACAATATGTGGGGCTGTGCAGTCTCTGCTGGGATCAGTGTAAGGGTGACCTCTCCTAGACTGGCTGAAGCTGTTTAAAAAAAAGCTCTGCTGCTCCACTGCAAGGCCTGCACTAGTTAGCATTGCCTGTTCCTGTTCCCAGATTTGTCAAGTCCATGCTTTGCATCCTATGCTTCTGCTGCATGCAGAAGAAAACTATCCCCTGTTCATCCTTCCTCTCTTGGGAGCTATCTTGGGAGCTCACTATGAGTCAGAAGAAGATTTCAGGAAAGAAACTCTTTGAAGGGAGTTAGAAAGGGGTCCATGATCTTGCTGATAATATGACATCCCATGATGTCTGGTGTCCTCCTCATTTCTGTATGCTGTGTGTATTCTATTGGCAGTGGTCCAAATGGCTGTTGCACACTACTTTATGAAGCCCAACCACATTCATATATCCAAAACATGTGTTCTTCATCTAATGCATTTAGGCTCATCAGATAATGAGCTGCTTTAGACTCAGCTACTAAGTGGTAAGAGGAAGAAGGCTGGGAGGTACTCAGTTCTTTTAAAAGAGGTTCTCTGGACCCAGCTGCAGTACCCTCCTCTCATCCTGACAAGCTGATGTATTATCTACATCAACTTCTGTTAATGAATTGAAAGTTTTCCAGAACTTAATCACCACATGGCAGCAGCCTGAAAAAATTCCCATCCAGCTAGTCCAAGAGAAACAACATAAGTTCTTGGACATGCCATACTCAAGAACACAAGGGATATTAGCCATGCCAGAAAATGATGGCTTGCTGGAGTCTGCCAAAGCAATCTGGCACCAACCCACTATTGCCACGGCCATCTCCAAGGAAGCAGACAGAAATTATCGAAGCCTTGTAAATGGATATTTTTGTTCTCATCTTGCAGCTGGCTCTCTGGTTGTTCAAGCTGATCAGAAAAGAACAAAGCAGCACAGTCCTCCAGGACCTGTCCTCAGAGAAAAGGATCTCAAAGATTGGACCTGTTTGGCAAAAGGAATGTTCAGCCATCCGCCCATAAATGGAGGGAGTGAATTAGAAAGCACTGTTTTCAAAGTAAAGGACAGATTGCCTAAATTGCCCATGGAGCAGCAAAGGGGAATATAAACTGCTTTGGCAGTAATCACTGTTAGTGTTCAGGATCTGCTTTTCTCCATATCTTTCAGCCGTCACTTGGTGTCTCTGTAGACATCCTTTCAAGTGACCAGCTCAGAGTTCGTATTTTCTCTCGTGACTTGCTGCATTGTCCAGATTTACCAGCTGTACTCGAAGCATTCCTTAAGGATGTGAGCTAAGCGCAAAGATTCCAAGGAGCCTCCTCAGACTAAAATCATAAATAGCATTTGGAAAGGAAATTCTTACAATAAAAAAAAAATAAATCTCACCCAAAATAGTATTTTCCTTAAAACTTAGCTAGGGCTGTTATTTTTTCCTAAGGAGAAGTTTCAAAAAAAAAATTAATTGTCCTCTTAATTTTCCTGCCTGAAATGCTATACCTCAGGAGATGCTTGTGTTCAGCTGGGACAGAGACAAAACAGCATAAGAGTTTGACGCTATCTTATCAGTCGAATACCAAAGAGTGAGTTTTCTAAAGGCCTTTGACTTTTTGTGCCTGTGGGACAGGATAAACTCTGAGACCTGTGTAGCTAGCAAACATGACAGTAACTAGAGGCATAAATAACATTCAGAGAACCCACATTTCCTCCATTCTTTACACTAACACTCTTTATCAGTTATCATTGCAAGCTGAAAGGATGTTTGATGTAACAATCCACTGCAGCAATCCTAAAAAAGTATCCATGTTTTCAGTCACCCAGAACATCTCAGGACATTTGAGGAGGGTCCAGCAGGACCTTGCTCACAGTTTCAGCCAGTACTTTTGAATTCTTTTGCTAGTGTGTGGAGGTGTAACAACCAGCTTTTTAATGTCTCAGAAGTCTCACCTAAAAAAGCCACTTGAAGGATAAGAGGAAATGCTTAAGTCTGTGCCCAGTGAGTCTTTGAAGGCTCTGGTGCTCCCAGCAAATGGGGCAATTCCTGTGCATTCTACAGTTGGTTTCTGTGAAATCAGTAGCAAGCATTAGCAATTTTGGGTTATTAGCCTCTTCTGTTGGGTTCTGGAACTTTAAATATGGAAGACAATATATTATTTCTAATCCTTTCAATTATCTAGTCAACCAGGGGAAAAAAAAAAAGATAAAAACATATTGTTACAGTACGTGAATGTCAAGAATGCTTGATTGCTAGTATTGTCTCTTTTTTGCAGTACGTTTCCCAGGAGTCAAAACATATATTGATCCGGACACGTACGAAGACCCATCTCTTGCTGTCCATGAGTTTGCAAAGGAGATAGACCCTTCAAGAATTCGTATTGAGAGAGTTATCGGGGCAGGTAAAAGTACACTCACTTTAAAAAATGTCTAGGCATGGATAAGCTGCTTTTCTCAAGTCAATAGGATAATGCAACTGGTCAAGTATAGTACAAACTGTGAGCATATTTCTCTGATAGCACCAGTTCACTCTCAAGTGTGGTGAACATGAGGTATTGTATTTGGCTAATGTTCCAAATGTGGATATATTCAAATTAGGAGTTCTTGAAAGGCAGATTGTCCAAAATGATAGGTTTATCTTGAAACTTTTTTTAAGCCTTTACCAATTTGTTGTGTAGTGTTGGTTTTTGGGGTGGTTTTTTGAGGAGTTTCTTTGCTTTGTTCCAAATGTACTCAAAATGCTGTCACAGCATTTGTCATAGTGTGACTATATTCTCTGTCACTGAGGAGAGGATTAGATCAGAATCTCTTTCTGGGGGGAGATAAGATCAGAATATAGAGGACTGAGCAAAAAGCTATTCTCATAGAGAAAATAGGAGGGATACAAGGAGAAAAGGAGAGGCTGGCTTGGGACAGGCTTTCTTGTAGCTGTGCAGAGAAGGAAAAGGGCAGAGATGGGAAAGGGGAAGCTCTGATGAGAAGTTGTAGACAGTATGAAAGGTGATGTGGAGCTGGGAAACAGATGAATGGGAAAAATAGCTGTTTGTCCGAATGCGCGGTGGGAACAGAGAGGAATTACATCTGAACAATTGTTTTAGACCCTGTTCTCGTGTATGGGTCTCTACCTTCAGTTGAGAACATCTCATTGAGGATGTAGGTCATTTCACAGCTGTTTGAAAATAAGTTTCAGAAGCTCATTAATCCTGTATGTATATTGGCCTTTTTTTCTAAGGGAGACAACATGCTCCTTGTGTTTTCAGGGATCTTGCCCTTTGCTGATGTGCTCTGTTTGTAGGCATGTCTATTCTGCACATTGTTACCCCCTTGCTTAGCTTTGGTTTAACTGTCAGGTTTTGCTGTTCCGGAAAGTGCTGTGCAAGTGTTCCCACACATTCATTTTTGGAAAGCCTTTGCAGGATTAAAGCCTCATGGCTGCTCTCTAGAGTCCACTAGCGGTCCTGGTGGCAGCTCAATGGCAACAGAAAACACACCTTTGTGGCTAACACAAGTGACATCCTTGAAAAGATCAGAGTCTTGTAAAACCATTTCTTGTAACTTGTATTCTGACTCTCTAGGGCAGATAGCATTTCATTATTGACCAGCTCCTGAGATGGTTTGCTCTCTGTTTTAACCAGTTGTAGTTTACTGTGGACTTAGAGAGACAAGGCTAGAAAAGGGCCTTACAATGTTACCTACCTAGTGAATCTCAATGCGTGGCTCATGACCAACGTGTCATTCAGAAGGCCCACCGACATTTCTCACAGTTATAACAAATTAAAACAAAAAACGGACTGACAAGGAGAATCTGAATTTCCTGTGGTGCCTTACATCCTCAGTGTTGTTACCCACACACTGTTAATGGCTGGGGAGCATTAATCATTTCTCAGCCCCAGCAGAAGGGGAAGGTGGGGGAGCTAAGAGTCTGTGTCAGAAATTTTGATTAACATAGGAACAGAACCCTGAGTTCTAATTCCAGCTCTGAAATTTCATTTCCTCCTGTGAAAGACATTCATGCCATATCGGTCTTCATTTTACACAATATGGGTATTTCTCTGTGTCCTTAAGATAGTAAGAGTGACTGAGTTTTGTAAATTGCTGTCTTAAAGGTATTTATAATACTGACTACACAGATGTTTTGGATTCACTTCACTGTAATTTTATTTTAGTAACAGTACTTAGTGTATTCCATACTCCAATGCCCATCTTTGAGCTATCTATTCTGGGCTTTCTTTAGTAATACTGTTTTATTACTTGCTAAGTAAATACCAACATACAAATGGGGTTTTTTACCTTATTTACTTTCTCTAACTTTAATGCCATAAGTAAAAAATTAAAATAATTTACAGTACAACAGACTGCAAAAATCAGAGTTACATCTTGTGGAAGGGGGGCAGAGGAAAAAAAATTCTTTTAATTTGCACATAGTGAGCCCTCCAAAGAACTCATGCTAGCAAGTATTGTCAGAAAAATTACTATCAGAAGACATAACGCACTGTGATCCTTCTTTTTTATCTTTGTTTCATATATCTTAGTCACTTGAGAAAGGAGAGGTATGTTTCGGTTGAGATTCCTCATTTAATGATACGTTACTACACTGATAGCAACAGCAATGTCTCCAGTGTTGCTAAAAAGTGGTTTATGCACTAGAAAATGCATTGCAAATAATAAACAGAAATAAAACTGGGTCTATTAACAAGCAGGGGAGAGAAAGTAGTGACCTGAAAGTCAGAAAGGAAATTCTGTTTCACACCGCAGTCCATATCACTGGAGTACTTTAGAGTTTACCTGATTGCTTAAGCTAGATAATATGCAGCTGGCATTGTGCACCATTGGAATTATGAGCTTGAGAGAGCCCCCAGAGGCCTGACTTCTGCAGAAAACATTCTATCTGATTTCTTTTATTTCTTCCTTTTCTTCAGACATGCTATAGATATTCATGTCTTAGATTATAAAGCATATTGAACAACATTCAGCACTGGTTTAACTGCTGATTTCCAAGGAGTTGAATACGACAAAGACTGAGCTTATCAATTTGAGTGCAGATGAAAATTGTGTCCTTCTTCTCAACTTAATTCATTTATGAAAATTCTTTACTCAGCTTCTCTCTCCCTTTTCTTCTGTGTGTGAGCGTGAATTTTTGCCTGCTTTGACATATTTTATTTTTATATTTTCTATCTTCTAAAATTACTTGGGTAATCTGCCATCTTCAAAGATATTTGCCTAGCAGGACTTGCAAACTGGTTGCAATGAAATTTAAACCCATTTCCATGCAGGCAAGATACAGGTTAAATACCATGCTTGAGGCATGGAGAGTACAAATTCTCATGGAGTTCTTCAATAGCTGCTAGGGGACATATCATTGTAATTCACAGGAGTCCTAAAGCTTTCTTTATGCCTTCTCTCTAATTCTGTATTACACTTTGCAAACAGATGTAAAATTGATTTCTTATCATAGGAGAATTTTTTTTAAAAGATGTTTACAATTTTCACCTAAGTGAAACAAAAAATTAAAGTCTCTTAGAAAATGAAACGTTAAAATCTTTTAAGACATGAATTAAGAGATGCATGTCTTAAATTTGTTTTGCTTAAACATTTTATTTTGATCAATTATTTTCATTTTGAATTTCTGTAAGTTTAATTTTTCAAAACAAAAATTATTTCCATTCAAGAACTAAAAGTTTTCATTTTGAAAATGTCACAGTGGAACATTGAAAATATTTGAAACTTTTTTCCTAGCATTTCTTGTCAAGAAATTTTTGAAACTGATCTTTTCCTGAAAGTAGTTTCAGATTTGCTTGTCAGTGGAAGAAGTCATGTCCAAAAGCTCTTGACAATTCACTAGTTGCAGTGCAGATGGCTTTGACATTCAAAACACTTATTTTTTCTAGCTTCTTTTTTCAGCTCGCCCAACTCTGTACCCAAGTTATCTTTTGAAGTATTTGCTAATTATAATTATAAATGTACATTATGTTATTTGCTGCTGAGTAACCTATTGCAACTATCTGAGGATGATACAATCAAATCAGAAGTAGTATTTTTAACTAAAGCTACTAATTATCTCATTTCTGATTACAGCACTGTTAAAAAATCTCCTAACCGTTTCACTTACCTCGGATACACATACACTATAGACTTGAAAAACAAAGACTTCATATTTTTTACTTTGGGTCCTATGTTTCAGTCTCTGTTTAGAAGTGCAAAATCAAAGAGCCCCTGAGTGTATTTACCTACTTACCATCTGTTGTACAGGTACATCTGAACGCTGCACAAGACATTGAGATTTCTCTGAAATCATTTATTAGCCATGTTACACAGACAATTTGGTTTGGTCCTTTGGGTGCCAAGTACTAGTAACATGAGGGTAGTACTATGTGACGAAAAAAAAAGAACAAGTATCTAAAATTGTTGCTTACACACTGACTGCTCCACATAATGACATTTGCCCCTCAAATATTAAAAAGAGGTTCAGAGAATGTGGCAACAAATGGTCAAATTGAAAAAGTAGCAAGACCTTCTAGCAGATTGGAAAATAGCCTTTAGTGGTTACAAAGACCAAGATGACACTTTGCCTGTCAAAGACATCATAGCCAAAAGAAAAAGAGAATGTCTGTACATTCAGTTGTAGATTTAACAAACATTCCTTTTGCAAGTTCATATCGTTAGGCAGATAATAGTGGCAAATGAAAAGCAGCAACAAGTTAAGAATGGGTGCTGAACTCACAAGATTACTCTGAGAAAAAATGAATTAGTGCAACTCTTGTCAAAATCCTTTTTCAAGTCCTCCTGGTGGACGTTTACTGAGCTGACATTTCTGAACGCAGCCACCATATTCCAAGGAGCAAGTTAATTGAAAACTTTGATCTCAGCTCTCCCAGTCTTCCCCTCTGGCATGCTTTTGGTGTTCCACTACATCTGCAAGCTCTCTGAAATACTATCCTTCTTTGGTGCAAATAAAGCAAGTCAAATACAGACTTTGCAAAGTCCTTTCTAAATTATTCATGCTTTGATTACTCCATGTGTCAATGCAAGAGATCTGCATTAAAGTAATAATATCTGCACATAAATCCATATTCAAGATGGCTGTGTAGTCAGGTTACTTCCCCTGAGTGGCTCCCCATCATCTCCTACCCTACATCTGGTTCATCTGGGAGAAAAAAAAATACAATTTTGTAGACCTTTTGATTGAATGAAAGGTTATCCAGGTTAATAGCTGTTAATGGTCTCTTTTGTTAGTCTTTGAATAACTTCTGCTGATATCTTGGTTCAAATTGGAGGTAAAGGCAGTAGGGGAAACAGTTTACAACCGAAATGGAAATTGCAGTTTGATCAAATATTCATAATAGCAAGCAGATTGCAACTAACGGCAAAACAGAACCTATTTGTAAGTGCTTAACTTACATTTTTCATGGTAACATCAATCAAAAAAAAAGGTATTAATGAAGTTCAAATTCTAGTTACTGTTTAAATGACGAAATTGATTAGTCCATTCCCTGTTATTATATCCACTACTTATGACAAAATTTTAATATTGTTTAATTTGATATTGTATATTCTTGGATTCAAAACTCTTGATTGAGTTTTTTTATCACTAGTATTAAATATTCCATGAGTTCTTCTGTTGTTTCATGACAAAGAGCATGGGGTGCCTTTTTGCCGGTTCCCACAATTTGCCATCTGTTCATTGTTATAGATTTTCTTCAGATGGTCCCTTTCAGCCACTCTTCATATTGAGATTGCGGTACCTACTGACATCTTATCATATTGTGTGATTTTGTCCTGTCCATGACATATTTTTCTTCCCATCATTTCTTGCTCTTTGGTTTAAGAGTTCAGCACCTCTTCATGGAAGGAATTTCCAAACATACTTAGTGAAGTCTGTCCTAACAGTTACAATTATCCTCGTCTTTGTTAAAATATGTAAACTCAAGGAAGAGGCCAACTCTTCAATTTGTCACAGAGAGCAGACAATGTTCTTTTCATAGTCTAAATCTTCTGCTGGTTCTCCCACAGGTCTAATGACTAAAACTGGGGAAAATTAATTGAGCTGTATTTGGTGCTGTGACCTTTCATTTCTATCAACAGCATTTTGTTTTGATCCCATGTAGTAATACCAGACTGCATATCAGACTTTTAAGTGACTGACGACTATTCTTGTTTCATTTTAAATAGCACATATGTTATGACTGGATGAGGAAAGGGATGCATGGTTTGCATAGGGCAAGTTTCTAGACTGCTGAATTAGCTTCTTTTTGTAAAACACAGTAAGACGTGTGAAGTTTATATCATTAAATCAAGGATTATTTACACATTATTAAAACTGAGAAATGAACTCTGTTATTTTCTATAGTTATCACCAGCTTTTTCCCTGGAGCAAGGAAAGATGTCAACTTCATTGACATCTGGCTTTTAGCTTCTACTTATTACATACGCAATCATGAACCTTTACTGCTCCAGGGTCAACATTTGTCTTGTTTATCTTCAAACTTGAGCAATGAGACTTAGATTCTTAGATTTTAAAAATCCCCTTTGATGAACACATTCCCTTTTGACTTAAAAAGCATGCAAAATTCCTTATCTTAACAACAGTGTAAAAAATATTCAGGGATGAAATCTTGTCAAACACTTTCTCAGTGTAAATAGTTTAATGCTTTAAATCATGTTGATCTCCATCTAGTCTAAACCTGAACTACAAGTTTTTACACATACCTTAGGTTTCTAAATGTACTAGCTGTCTGTTCTGTGAGCTGATAATCACTTACTGTCTGACATCACATCATTAAAACATTTCTATCGGTCTTTATGTTCACTGGTTTATCAATCCCAGTATCCAAGGGGAGTGAAATTTCTTTCTACCTGCACAAATCATGCATCCAAAAAACGGAAGAGAGACAGGTCAGGAAGAAGACACATTGGATGGTAGTCCAAATTAGCTACTACTTTTTCAGTGGCAGTAGTCAGGTAAACAAACTTTTTTCTAAGAGCTAAAGGGGCAATATCGTATAGGAAACTCCCCAGCCAACTTCCTCTTTTGTCAAAAGATTCCCAGAACATTAGTCTGATGACATATATTTTCACACATATGGACACATCTTCAGGGAAGGACATGCTTTGATTTATTTTAAAAAATTTGGTAAAAATAAAACAAACAGAGTTTGTGGTAGAAAAAAGACCTTGGACACTTGGCTTTTGTTAGCTGTTCAAGAAGCTGCTGATTTATTCAGAGGTTATGTTCAGCATCTGTTAATTGTACTCTTGCACTTGATGATGTCTCTGGTTTGAAGTGAAACATAAGCTATGAAATTTTTTTTTTTTTAATCCCTCCACTCTTCCTGGATCTTATTGGCTAATAAAACTGTTTTATTTTAGTGGAAGCAACAGAACCTAATAAAATACAAGCTGTATGACAATATCCATTCTAATCCTGTAACATCAGGGAGTTATAATTTTCTGAAGTGAAGCTTCTGTCTTTCAGGCCTATCTATTATAGATTAAGTTTATATCTGAAGACACACTGTAACAGGATAGTGCTCTCTTATTTTGTTTTCTTTTGTTCTGTCCTTAAAGTTTAAGGAAAACAGATTCAGACAGCACTCAATGGAGGAGGTAACAAATAATTTCCTCCAGTTAAATATATATCTGTTTATGACTCGGGGTTTTTTTGATTTTCAGCAGTTCTGATTCCAAAATGACTCGGGTAGAGAATTTGGTTTTGCTATGGAAGTACCCTGCACTGAAAATTGCTTTGAAATATTTTTGTGAACATTGATTTTGATTTACTGAATTGTGACTCATTGAAAACTGACCTGCAGTCATCTGCAGTATATTTGGTAGGGGCTTTAAATAACTTTTGAGTGGCTTCAAGATCAAAGGAAAGTTGTGATCTCCATACAGACTTAATTAGTAAATGTGTAAAGGGAATGCGAGGAGACATGCATTCTTCAAAGGCCCTTCCATACAGAGGAAAACTTCAGGTGAAGCAAGCTTTGAGATTCCTCTTGTTAGGCAACTCAGTCCTGATTTGCTGAAACTATTGGCCTTTGGCTGTCTGAAAAGTGAAATATGGGATTCATTTCAAGTAGGTGTGTAAATACATTTAAATAAATCATGGGCAAGTGCTTTTCTGGAGCATAACATCATTAAGTACATATGAAATGCTTTCTAGAACTGGAGGATAGTCAGATATTCTGATATTCTCGTGGCATTTCTTTTCATATAGGTCTTGGTGCATGACACCCCTATAAATAGATACTGCTATAAATATTTCAGATATAGAAATAGATATTTCAGATATTTTTGTCATCATTAGAATTAAAATCTAAAAGTGTCGTTACATTCCTGCCTCATGGCATGCTCAGTTGCACCACAAACATACCGATAACAAAGTTCAGTCTCAAAGTATCAGTAAAGCAAGATGAACCGCACTGTGCAGAGCAGATTGTTTGGCTTTTGCAGTGCAAGTACAAGTCCCCATGATCTCATGGTGTGGCACAAAGAAAAGGGGGTTATTTTCTCTGAAGTAATGATGAATGGTTTGCTTCTCTGGAATGTGATGGAACTTGGGAACTTGAATATCCCGTCCATTATTTCTCACCAACGGGGATTCTGTCCACTTCTATGGGATGTGTGAGTTTCTTGAATATTTTTGTGTTCTTGTTTCCCTGACAACTGCAAATAACTCTGAACTATTAAAAAGACAGCTTTTAATACAGCTGTTGGAGGTTATTTTGAAAAATAAGGTGTTTAAGTTCAGAAATACAAACTGTACTGTAATTCTTCAGGCTCTGTGAATGATCTAACAAATATTTTATCTATTCAAGGTGAGTTTGGAGAAGTATGCAGTGGACGTCTGAAGACACCAGGAAAAAGAGAGATACCTGTTGCCATTAAAACTCTAAAAGGCGGCTACGTGGACAGGCAGAGAAGAGATTTCCTCAGAGAGGCTAGTATCATGGGACAATTTGATCACCCAAATATAATTCGCCTTGAAGGAGTTGTTACAAAAAGTAAGTTACTATTAATAGTTTTTTGTTGATTTTCTCATTCTGTGTCTCTTAGTATCAAAATTAAGCATTACTTCTACATTCAGTATGGTTTGCAATTCTCAGAAATTATCCAAATCATAAAGTGACAGCAGATACTGAATATTTTGGGACCGTAATAAGAAATGCATAGCCTATCTGTATTAATTTAGAAATGTTTTGGGGTTTTTTTACTTTTTAATAAAAATCCTTAAAAAGTCTTTACAGGTTCTTATGAAATAGACTGTAGAATTTGCTTATAGGCAAGTGGAATATAGTAGAGAAAACCATAAAGGTAACTGAGTTGGCAACAAAGTCAAATCCAGTTGTAAGGTAGCAGCTACATTTTTTTTTTCCACAAGCACTCATTATTTATCTGATTGTGTTTTACTGATTTTGGTACCAGAAGAAATGAATTTCCTATTTTAAAGAAATAAAATGTACATTCTTTTAAACTTACTGTACACTTGCATATAAGCCACTAAAATTCCAAAATAATCTATGAAATGTCTTTACTCTTTATACCTGTTGCAGCTGCCAAGAGATATCCCTTGCTTCTGAAATCTAGCATTTTTAGCAGGATTATGGACTTTTCTGAAATATCTACTTATTTAAGTATTAAGTAAAAGTCTTATTAGCATGCTTGTAATTTCTTTAATGCCAACTTTTTGCAGTAATGAATTACAAAATTCATAAGGTATACTCTTCTCATAATTAATCATTGCCTCAATTAAGCCATGGTGTTTGCTGCTTTGCAGAACTTATATTTTTCTTTTAAAGATAAAGTGTTATGTCTATAAAACAATTATATCCTTTTACATTCACAGTAAATACAATAAATATGAAATGAATAGTTCCAGTTTTCACCTTGTTACAATATCAAAAGCTATGTTTGGAAAACACAATGTAGTAGAACAAAGAGGGAAGTATAGCTCCTGAACTCATGTCATTGGAATGGAATTTCAATAGGTTTATGGGATGACCTTGTTCAAATCTGTCTCTCTGTGGTTCTAAATTAAGATGAAGAGGATTTTTTTTTTTTCCCACACAGTCTTGCAAGGAGAAATTCATTATTATTTAGAAATATTTGATTACTAGACTAACAAAAGCCATTACATTGCAGACTTCTGGAACCGTATGGTTTAGTCTCCTCCATTGATCTCCTGTCAGTAACTTCTCTCTTGACAACAAACAAGAACACGAGTTAACACTGGCTGAGTAGCATTGGAGATCTTTGTCAAGAGATGTAAATGTGTAGGAACTTAATTGCATTTAGCTCCTTGCTCCATATTGAGCAGTATAGCAGCAACTAAATTCCACCAGTCTTCACCACCATGGTCAATTTATGAACTGGTATGACTAGGATCCATGTTGTGGATGACTCAATTCTGAAAAAGGCTAATGCTTGTGATTTATGAACATTGTTTAAATCCAGTTAGATGGTGCACACAGAGTACAGTATAATGTACTTGGCAATGGCATGATTGTTTAATCTTTGCCACATTTATAAATTTTCTTTCTGTAATGTCTCATCATCAGTCTAAAAAGAAATTATGATTGCATTAAGAAAACAGAAACAAACAGATAAATCAATGCTCCAACATTACAGTATTGTTTCTGTTCTACAGGAAAACATTATAGACAACCTTAAGTCAAGAAGTCATCATTAGTAGTTCTGCTTTTCTCTAAGGAGTCAACAAACTGTTATTGGGTTTGGAATGTTTGCTTAGGGGTAATGTAAGAATAGGAGGCATTACTGTTATAGTCACACTGTGCTATAAAAATATGCATCTCAGATATAAAATAAATAGAGAAAGTTTGAAAGAAAATATTTTTGGGTCAGGCAGATTTAAAAAAATAAAACAATTATACAGCAATAATTATAAGATGAAAAAAATACATGAGTTATCAACAAATTTCACGCTAAGGCATGCGAAGTGCAAGTTATATAAAGTGTAAAGCACAAAGTAAGTAGTACAGTACTGCTCTGCTGCAGGGAAGTACCTAGGAGGCAGGCTGAGCAATGGACACACACACTCTACTATGCTCCTTTTTTGCCAGTTACCTTTAGGATGTTGCCTTGCATTTATATGCCCCATCTGTGGTATTTAGAGAATAACATGGCTTCAGCTGGGAGCAGAACACTTACTCTGCATTTCACTAAATGCAGAATCTAGGATTGCACAAGCCAACATGGGACAGAAATTTCCTATAACTAAAAGGTGTGCTGTAAAAGTCAGGCAGGTCTTGTCCTAGCCAGATTATTTATGTAATGATAGCATGATTAAAAGGTGTTTTGTGTTAAAACTTAGATTAGTACCAGCAGAAACTATTTATCTGATGTGCATTACAGTTCCACTAACCTATAACAGCACATCGGATGCAGTAAATTTGATTAATAGATGTGTAATGTTGTTCTTAGCACATGCTTTCCTCTTTGTAACCATTAGTCATTAACTTCTAGCAGTTGCTGATACATATTGCAAGTTTGTAAGCAGTACCTTCCATTACAGTGTCATTGACTATTGAACAAAAAAGAAAAAGGATTTGATTGCAATAAGCAGAAGTGCTGTACCAAGTCAATAGCTATTGACTGCGGCAATAACAAATTCGCCTGTTCATTGCAAATGAGAGCTTTTATCTGCTGCTACCAGCTAAGCAGATGTTAACTTTTAAATGATACTGTTTTCAAAATTGCTATGGAATATGTACTGTGCAGGATGAAAAACTGCTAAACTAAGCCTGCTCAAAAGTAAGTTTGAAACAGAGTTTTAATCCTCTTTCTGATTGCTTCATTTCTCATTTGTCCTAACTGCAATCTCTAATCCCAGAGAGCAATAGGCAGAACAGTTGCTGTAGCACAAGCTTTCTGTTAACAGAGAGTTCATTTCAAGGGCCATTTGCCGGGCCAAGGCAAATACACCGTAGCACAGAATCTGGATCCGATAGTTCACTTGTATTGCTAATCAGAGGTCACAAGGGAAACTTTGTTCCTGTTTGGTTTGTTTTAGCAACACCGTTCCTTGCATAAAAGGTTCCTTATTGCCTCTCAAATTGATGAGAGATGCTTAGACGCTTTATAAAAAACATCCATGTTTCCCTTTCAAGTCATATTAGCACAGCGATAAGTTTGGGACCTCTTTTCGGGTGTGTCAGGGCATGCTCAGCTGAGTTGTGAGTCATTGTCCAAGCTGCTGCTATTTCATAAATAGGTATAAGAAAACTACAATTTCTTTCTCCAGCACAAACATATGTAACCAACACCAAGATCTGGGCTATATAGAAGAAAGATGTGTCTTCCACTTCTACATCATGTTAAAGTCTGTGTTGCAGACTTTCCATAACAGGTCTGTAAAGTAAATTAAAGCTATGCTTACAGCAAGCAACTGCCAACATAACTGTCTACAAGAGACATGAAGAAAATGATCTCTGACTATTGTAACTGTACTGGAAGAAATCATTGGTGTTACACTAGCCACACCAGAATTGATAGTTAGTTTAGCTTGATGGTATCTTACACAATAGTTTAAAATACAGCCCTGTCAGTATTGTGTAATACTGTATCAATGCAAAATATCAATGCTTGCAAGTGCTTTAGTGTAGTCATAATCTTCATTTGTTCCCCTCCCCCTCAGACTTTACCCCAAATAACTTTCAATTGTTAAAATTAATTTCTAAGGAGTTGCTTCCTTTTCTGAACTTTGACTACTGGAGGTTTTGCACATGTTGCTTTTACAAATGGAATTTTTTAAGACATTCATTTTCTTTAATAACTTTATGTATATTGCTATTCTCCAGAAGAATTTTCAAATTAAGCCCTTCACAAAAGGAGGATGAATGAAGACAGCACCTAGATTTTTGGTTCTATGTAAGCTCACATCCCCATAACATTGAGTCTGGGTTTGGAATGACACCTTCAACTACTTTATTGTCTCCTCAGTCTTTTGCTTTAGTGACTTTCAAGTTGTGGATGCGACCGCAGTTCTGAAATCTTCAGTCAGTCATTTGACAGGTTAAATTCAAAGCTTTAATCATAGAGTTTCTTTTTAAATTAATGTATATAACCTGTTCAGTGAAAGAAGAGTCCTGAGGTCAGTGTACCTTGCCTTGTCCATGAGGAAGGCAAAGCAGCAGCATGATCCTCTTTCACTGCAAT